TAAAAAAATCAAACAAATTATATTTTAAAACAAAAAATTATATTTTAAAATAAAAAAGTATAAAAATAAAATTAAACTTAATATTATTACTAATGTTACGTGTATTATTTTATATAAATGATTGATTAAATAAAAACTAATTATTATATATATTTATATTAAAAAAATTAATTAATTAATCTTTTTTTTTAAATTATTTTTTAAATTTAAGAAGTATGAGTTCATGACAAGGTAACGCGCTACATGAGCACTTCCGTTGTAATAATTTGTATGAATTATGCCTTGTCGATTGGGACCACAGTCTGTAATTCTCCACCTCCTGGATTGAATTTTTTCCTAGAAAGGGATATGATGGGCGTTGCTTTTCTCCGTCATTAGTTAGTTAATTTGTTTTCTTTTCACATGTAAAAAATATATAATAAATATATTTTAATTTTTATCCTAAAAATATAAATTAAAAAATTTATTTTAAATATAAGAGTACCATTTATAAAAAAGGTACATATTTATTTTAAATTTTAAAAAATAAATTCCCAGCTTCGATGTTATCTTATTTTATTTAAATTTAATTTAAATTTAAAATTTTATCTGTTTAAACCGTTTGTGCTTGAAAAAGAAACTGTAATTTGAAGGGTTTTTTATAGTATTAAAAAAATAAAAATTAATTTTTAATTTATTAATTATTTAATTAAATTTATAAACTTGATATTAATATTAAAATTAAATTAATTATTTCTTTGATTAAATTTATCCAAATAATAATAACTTTAAAATTAATATCAATTTTTATATTTTTATATATATTTATAAAAAAATGAATTAATTTAACAAATCATCTATTAACTTTCACATTCTTTTCAGTTTCATCTATTATCTTTAAATTTTTTCAATCTTGTCTATTAACTTTTACGTTTATTTCAATTTCATCTAATCCGTTATATTTAGCAGAAATATCCACTATCTTTAACGGAATCTTCTTATTTTTTAATAAAATATTTAGTTCTCTAACTATATTTCTTTTGATCTTTTAGTCTTTAAATTTATATTTATCATAAAAATAGTTTTTAATCTTATCTTATTAAATGTGTTTTTCAGAAAACTATTTTACAGAACCGACTGTATGCAGTCTGTCTTGTAAAATTATTTAAATGCCCTTAATTTTATTTTTATATTATTTTTTAGAAATATTTAAATAATTTTTTAAGACAAATTGCATATAATCTATCTTGTAAAACAGACTAATTGTTAAATTATTTTAAAATATTTTT